GGACTTTCCTCTCCCAGAATGTCTCCACACCAGGGGAGAAGTGACTGTGATGACTGTTAACCTCAAAACCGAGTTGCAAAAATACCTCCAGCTGATCAACCCTGAGAACCCCACAGAGTACTGTTTTTCTGAAATAGCTAACTGCTTGCCCTGCGAATTTTGCATCTGTCAAAATGTTTGCAAAACTGTAAATGGCCCTGGCAGCACTAGACATCACTTCATCCTTATGGCAGGCCAAACATTCTAAACAACACTAGCCACAGTAAGGCACTTTGTTGCAACATCTCTAACTTGACTTGCTCAGATCCCATGGTTAGGGACATCTTGCTGCTGTGTTCACTGCTCAGTGTACTAGATTACAGCTTTTGCTTTCCACCCTAGCCGTCCATGACAGACCCTACTCTCAATTTTCCCACCACAATCACCGGCACCTTCTCAACTCCTGAAATTGCTACCTATGATCCTCTTCACATCTTATCCATAAGCCCTTCCCTATTATATGCCACGACCCTGCCCCACACCACAACCTAGTGATCCAGACCTGACATGGCTACTCATACAAACCTCCAACATAGCAACCTAGGCCTTTCAAGTAAAACGGTATTAGATTTGTTACCATTCAGGGTCAGACCTACAGCCCCATGTCACTATCTATCCCACTATCTATCCCACTTCCTAGTGATCAGCCCCTCATCCTAACCCTCACCCCCCAAAAACATCACAAACCTCATTTAGGCTAAACCAAACCCTAATATAGATCCCAAACAGGGCACCCTGTGGGTAAGCATCAAAATAATGAACTCTCCACAGCAGTACTTTCTAAAGGCTACCAAGTATACTGAAACACAAAAGGCTGGACTTCACCCTTGTATACTCACAACCCCTTAATAATAAATAATGTCCCAGGGCACCTGGCTGGATCAGTCAGAGGAGCATGCAACTCTTGATCTCGGGGTTGTGAGTTCAAGTCCCACGTGGGGTGTAGAGATTACTTAAATAAAGTTAAAACTTAAAAATAATAATAATAAGCAATGTCCCATTCAAATTCTACTGTGTACCTAATTCAAGGGACCAGGAGCAAGTTCACTTGACCCTGTCCAGTCTGCAAGCAGTCCAGAGATGACCCTTATTACTGCAACATTGTTACCTCTAATATTCTACCTACACTTTGCTACACTTTATGCTACTGGCACCTCTCCACTAGATATGTCCTGCTGTTGTGCCAAGAAAGCCATTCTTATCCCTATCCCTATTACCACTGGATGATAGGCATAGCAACACTGCTTCCATCCTAGCCAACAAGATCAAATATCAAACAACACTCAGCATGGCACAAAAACAGACACATAGACCAATGGAATAGAATAGAAACCCCAGAACTAAACCCACAAACATATGGCCCACTAATCTTTGACAAAGCAGAAAAGAACATCCAATGGAAAAAAGTCTCTTTAACAAATGGTGCTGGGAGAACTGGACGGCAACATGCAGAAGGTTGAAACTAGACCACTTTCTCACACCATTCACAAAAATAAACTCAAAATGGATAAAGGACCTGAATGTGAGACAGGAAACCATCAAAACCCTAGAGGAGAAAGCAAGGAAAAGACCTCTCTGACCTCAGCCGTAGCAATCTCTTACTCAACACACCCCCAAAGGCAAGGGAATTAAAAGCAAAAATGAATTACTGGGACCTTATGAAGATAAA